ATGCTTCAATCAGCTGATGCTTCAATCAGCTGATGCTTCAATCAGCTGATGCTTCAATCATCTGATGCTTCAATCATCTGATGCTTCAATCAGCTGATGCTTCAATCAGCTGATGCTTCAATCAGCTGATGCTTCAATCAGCTGATGCTTCAATCAGCTGATGCTTCAATCATCTGATGCTTCAATCAGCTGATGCTTCAATCAGCTGATGCTTCAATCAGCTGATGCTTCAATCATCTGATGCTTCAATCAGCTGATGCTTCAATCAGCTGTGACTCACAATAAATCTCTTCATCAACTGAAGTGCCGCTTCATTGATGTATCCACCAGGTCATATTATACACTGAAAACCAAAATAATTCACTACCATTAATGGAGACCCAATGTCAACACTGATCACCTCCTTTGTTTACAAAAACTAACATTCCAACTGTTAGTTAAGCGAAGGCATATAAGGGAGACAATAAATTTCATATATACGGCTTCTGTTATACTACATAGCGACCATGCTCGTGTTTATTTGCATTATTTTCTGTTTGATGCAAACATCAGCGGGATTCTGATGTTTACACTGGAGTGTGTTAGTAATTTAAAACGCTGCTCATTGAGGAGCTCAAGAGTCACCTGGGATATTAAAGGTGAAGGTAAGGTCGTTTAAATCAGCCTTGTACATCCTGGCCGGAATAAGGGTGTCACAGGTGATGTGGTGACAAAGGTAACACGCTCTCCTCTATTAGCTCTCTCTCTCTTCTCCCCTTTATACTATATATATATATAATATATAATATGATATGTATGATAATAATATCGACTCCCAGCTGAGGGACTGATTACCTCATATCTCCATCCTCTCCTTACGCCTTACCTCTTTGTATTGGACTGATGTAAGCCACTTGTGCGAACGTTTCCTGAATAAAGATTCCCATATGCTGCTTAATGTCTCAATCTTCACTTGTAGGTTTTTCAAAACTGTAGTGTAAAGCACCCTTCTGGCAAGACAGTGATGGAGTGAAATGTATGTGTAAGTTTTCATTTTTCGGGCCACCCTGCCTTGGTGGAATCGGCCCGTGTGAATAATAATATAAAATAAAATAATATATATATATATATATATATATATATATATATAATATGTGTGTGTGTGTGTGTGTGTGTGTGTGTGTGTGTGTGTGTGTGTGTTGTGTGTGAGCCAGGTAATCAGTCTCACTGTTCCTCGATGCACTAGGCTACGATGCCACATAACTTTGGGCCGAGAGCAGACACTGTCGGTTGATTCCCAGAGCTGTACACACAGTCTTTCTCCTTCCTATTTCATCTTATCTGTTGATATATGTCAGTCCACGAGATATATAAGAATGCTTATGGTTCGCAGAGGCGAACAACATATTTACAAACATTTTCTGACATAAATGTTTGTAATTACCAATTATCTTAGTTTAAATAACAACACCAAGAATTATCCTCATGGAACTGTTATGATTAATTTCTGAGTGAATGTGCAGTCATTATTAAGAGATCATATAAGCAACATGTAAGCAAACCATACCACGGATGGGGTTTGAACCCGCGGTAAGAGAGTCTCAAAACTCCAGAAAATCGTGTCATTACGATTTCGTGAGTCAAGCAACATGTAGAACGGACTTCCATATTTAATATTAATGCCAGTGTTTATTCCTACAAGTGTTGCAAGTACCTCCATAAATCTCTCTTTAAGTCTGCTCTCTGAATCACTGACAATATTTATATTCTTCTAAGGATTAAACATTAGCGTGATGAATATCTTGGTCCTCTTGTTGATATGACGAGGCCAACAAGCTAGAAGTTTCTAGTTTCTAGCTTGTTGAGAGTGTCGACAAAGATGTGAATATCATCCTCATAGCAGATGACAGCCTCATCATCCTGTGAAGCTTTTTGGGAGTTATCCTGGGTAATTTACAATATGTAAGATAATTTTACTTATGTGTACCTGTTCCTAAATAAACTTGCTTACTTGCTCACTAACCTGTACATCGGTACACTTACGGGTCTTTAACGGGGGAGGGAAACAGTACGTCGAGGGAGACGTGAAGGTGAGGGTGTCAGTTGGTGGACCACAGCAGCAGTGAACCTTGGCTCACCCGTGCCGGATTCAGTGGCCTGAGTGTCACTGTGGGAGGCCATGGCAGCAAAGACCACTGGCTCAGTGGTCCCGTCACCAGTAACATTATAATTCTCTTAGGTAATACGTAATAGTCAGTGTTTCCGGTGTTTTTTTGTCGTTTAATTATTTTTCAGTTTCTGTCCCATCTACTTTTCTTGTAGGATGGCAGGTATTTCCGACACGTATGGTACTGTAGGAGAGCAGGTGTTTCCGACACATATGGTAGTGTAGGAGAGCAGGTGTTTCCGACACATATGGTAGTGTAGGAGAGCAGGTGTTGCCGACACATAAGGTAGTGTAGGAAAGCAGGTGTTACCGACATGTATGGTAGATTAGGATGGCAGGTGTTGCCGACACGTATGGTGAAGACATTGCCACTATAAATCTTGTTAAATGTCTAGAGGTAAACAGTAATACAAATAGACTGTGAAAGCTTGCAATTGTATTTTAATTCTATAACCTACATGAACTGTATCATATATCTTAGCCAGTTCAAAGAGCTCATCACCAGCAATTCCTTTCTTAAATCAGTTACAAAGGTAACTGCACAAGAAGAAATTTCTCGCTTAGCAGGTATCATCAATTACTATATATACTACGATGGCAGGCCTCCATCTGCCCTTCTTGTCACCTTCCACGGTAAGAATTACTGAGTTCACGTTGAGTTAGGCCTAAGAATTAACAATTGTGCTTCTGTGTTACCAAGTGAATTGTTTACCAATCTAATGGCACTCAAGTTAACTTACGACAAAGTAACTGTTAACTCACTGATCATTACTGACCGCTTCATCACTCACCTTAGCATCACGATCATTTCAGAAGCCAGACACAGTATTCTAAAATCAAGGAGAAAAGAACTGACGTATAGTTACTTATGGAATCAACAGCCTATTTAATTATTCTTACTTGATAAAGCTGATAAATTAACCATGGAAAATAATTTAGAGGAAAAAGTTGAAAATAACCTTGGTCCGCCTTTTGCAATCATTAGAAATAACAGATCAGTGAATAATGACGAGTGTCATAGGAATATAGTTAGAAGCTTGAGTAGTTCAGTAATTCACTATGATAATACAAACTGACACAAATAAACCATACCGCGGGTTGGGATAGAACCCGCGGTCAGAGAGTCTCAAAACTCCAGACCGTCGCGTTAGCCACTGGACCAGCTAGCCACAATAAGATTCGTCCAACTAGGTATATTTCTACACCATAGGAAGGTTAGCATAGGCACCACTGTGACCACAAATGCATTTGTGGTCACAGTTTTGAGACTCTCTGATCGTGGGTTCTATTCCCATCCGTGGTATGGTTTGTTTGCAATCGTGTCATTACGATTTTGCGACACAAATACATATACGGAGCAACTTGCAATGTAAACAGACTGATGCAGTAGCCAGGATTAACACTGGCCACAAGTATTTCTGATAGTTTGACATTACACAGACGGTGATCAGACTGAATACAAAGTATGTGGTCGGCTTTACTGTCATTTTCTCGAACACTGTGTGCTTTATTATTCTCATTTTAAATAAATATCCCGAATTTACCAGTAACAAATGCCATATAAATTGTACGTATATATCGAGATGCACTTTTGTTAACCAGTTTTGAAGGCTAGTTCTTAGGGCTTTTGTGTATCCACATGCTTTTGCGGGATCCTCCACAGGAAGGATATGGGGTACACAAGTTATCAAGTCATGATGAAGCAGAATAGTCCATTATTGCCAGCAATAATGAGCTCTTCTGCACCAAGAGTTCTTCTAGACCATATTTCTTAATTATCTGAATCAGTGTCCAGCTCCGTAATTCTTAGAAAAAAAGTGGAAATTTTCTTAAGGTTGGAATATCCAACCGGAAATCTACTGCATAATAACGAGAACAAAAGAGCATCAACACTAAGAGAACTTCCCCAGTTGTAGGGTCCTCACTGACGGCTCTTGTAGCACCGGCGGTGTCCTTCGAGGGGCGTCACAGTGGTTCCTCGGCCCCGCTTCTTGAAACAAAGGGATTTAAGGTCTTTAAGAGGAAGCTTGACAAGTTCTTGCAGGAGGTGCGCAAGGTTAGTCAGACTGGGATGGTTGCGTAGGCCTGCGGGTCCCGGATACTCACAGCCAGGTTAATCAGAAGGTAGTGCTAGTGTCATGGAAGGCTACGAAGGTAGGAAACTCTCGAAATTGGTCACAGGTATGTCAAGGGTATCAGGGATACGTCGCACTTTATATTTTCGTTTCATATTCGACTAACGTTATGACACGACAAATATGAATTTACACAGCCTGAAGTTATTGAGTTTCATTCCGCCTAAAAGTTACACCAGCCATTAAAGACAGAAGCTGTTTAAAAAAGGCATAATCTTGTTATTTCATGAAAAACATTACCATAATATTTCACAAATAAAATGAGCAAATTGGTACCTACGTCCTCCAACACCAATCCCAACCTTCTTCTACGTAGGATACAACAGTGTTGAGAGTTTGAAGACGATCGGAAGAGGCTTTCTCAAGTTATCGCATGGAAACCAACAATCAGGAATAGTCAGTATAAAATTAGCCAGTGGTCACCTAATTTCAGAACAATAGCAGTGAAAATTTGAAGCCGATCGGCTGATTCATTCTCAACTAGGAAACGGAAACCTGTGAGGAAGATAAAAAAAAATCAACCCCTTGCAGGTACCCTTTAGGGTTTACCTAATTGTGTAGATCAAAGTTATTTACCGTTTTGGTTGTCTTAAATAAAAATATTTTTTTTTACCTTTATCTAGATTATAGAAATGGGCAAAGATCAGCAGACGGAGGACCGAGCCTCCACCGCGCTAGACATCAAATATCTCTTCATGTAATACATTTTTTTTTTTCAGAGATACTGTTTATGCAGATAGTATCATCGTGAGGATGAAGGAGCAGAGAGAATATCTGTTGCTGTTGTTGCTGTTGTTGCTGTTGTTGCTGTTGCTGAGGGAAAGGTGAGAGAACATTAGCTTCACCCTCTTCTTTTCACATTCTAAATAAAAGTATATATATTTTTTTATGTTTTATATATGTGTAGTTGGTATTACGTGTATATAATGTCGGAGATGTTTTGAGATACACCTCTAGGATGTTTTGGTTCTTTCTTTTATAACCGAGAAAATAATCTGAAAGTAACAACACTAATACATTTGTTCACTTCAGCTACGAATTAATATTCAATATTTGGAAAGATGTTATAAAGCTTCACGAAGCTCGTGGAAAACTGAAATCTGAAGACAATATTAAATCTGTGATGTTGCCTGTTGACCTCTCAGGTGTTTACATTTACTTGTCTACGTTGCTTGTCCACGTTACTTGTCTACGTTACTTGTCTATATTACTTGTCTACGTTGCTTATTTTAACTCCTCTTACCTCCTTCACGTCTCCATCACCATTCCCTCTCTATACACAAAGTAATCACCAGCTCAAAGGAGTCAACATGGAGACAGTAAAAGAGACCGTAAGAGAAGTTGTGTTTCAGTCCGTTACTAAGGTTCTCTTCACTGTCATGAAGATGGTTACTCTACCATATCGATGTATATGATGTTTATCTTTTGATTCATTTTAATTTTCATGTGGGTTTATTTGTGCTGTTCACTGACTACCTTCCCCTGACCCCTCCCCAGTATTACCTCACTTCAGTTATGGGTAACATCACCACCAAGTCTTACAGGTGATACTAAGGAAAAACAAATGTTTTTTTAAAAGCTTTCATTAAGACAACGTTTAGCTTGTCGTGACTTGTTTAAGCCGTAAACAGAATAAAACGTTGCCTTTAAAAATGGCTTTCTCTGCTCTGTCTGTCCTTACATTATTCACAATGGATGGCACTCTGCCTTCCAGTCTTACCTTGTCTTCAGTTTCCATCTCCTCCAGCAGCCAGGGCGTAGAGTGTCCGTGTCAGCGGGTGATGCTGGCCAAGATCCGGGTGGCGTTACCTGATGATGCCATGATGGCCACCAGGAGCGGCTTCATCAACTGCTGTGTGGAGAGCTTCCTGGGTCACCCCGACCCTTCAGCTAGGGTCGTCTGGTGGGTACTCTCGCCTCACACTAATTATTCTTAATTTATTAGTCATGAAAAATCAGTTAATCTGGATCATGATTATTTTGTTTATATATATATATATATATATATATATATATATATATATATATATATATATATATATATATAATAATATATATATATATTATAATATATATTAAATATATATATATAATATATATATTATATATACATATATATATATAATATATATAATATATAATATATATATATATATATACATATATATATAAAATATATATATATATATATATATATATATAATATATATATATATATATATATATATAATATATAAAATAATATATCCTGGAGGATTGGCACCAAACCTGCACACGAAAATCACTCCATATGAAAGCAAAGACTTCGGCAGGAGATGCAACATTCCCCCGATGAAAAACAGCGCCACGAGTACACTGAGAACAATACAATAAGTGTTCGGGGCCCAAGACTGTTCAATTGCCTCTCAGCATACATATGGGAGATTACCAGTAGACCCCTGGCTGTCTTCAAGAAGGCACTGGACAGGCACCTAAAGTCAGTACCTGACCAACCGGGCTGTGGTTCGTACGTCAGTTTGCGTGCTGCCAACAGTAACATCCTGGTTGATCAGACTCTGATCCACCATGAGGCCTGGTCTCAGACCGGGCCGCGGGGGCGTTGACCCCCGAAACCCTCTCCAGGTAAACTCCAGGTAGTCCAGGTATATATATATATATATATATTTTTTTTTGTCACACTGGCCGATTCCCACCAAGGCAGGGTGGCCCGAAAAAGAAAAACTTTCACCATCATTCACTCCATCACTGTCTTGCCAGAAGGGTGCTTTACACTACAGTTTTTAAACTGCAACATTAACACCCCTCCTTCAGAGTGCAGGCACTGTACTTCCCATCTCCAGGACTCAAGTCCGGCCTGCCGGTTTCCCTGAACCCCTTCATAAATGTTACTTTGCTCACACTCCAACAGCACGTCAAGTATTAAAAAACCATTTGTTCTTCCATTCACGTCCTATCAAACACGCTCACGCATGCCTGCTGGAAGTCCAAGCCCCTCGCACACAAAACCTCCTTTACCCCCTCCCTCCAACCTTTCCTAGGCCGACCCCTACCCCGCCTTCCTTCCACTACAGACTGATACACTCTTGAAGTCATTCTGTTTCGCTCCATTCTACTCCACATGTCCGAACCACCTCAACAACCCTTCCTCAGCCCTCTGGACAACAGTATTGTGTAATCCCGCACCTCCTCCTAACTTCCAAACTACGAATTCTCTGCATTATATTCACCACCACACATTGCCCTCAGACATGAACATCTCCACTGCCTCCAGCCTTCTCCTCGCTGCAACATTCATCACCCATGCTTCACACCCATATAAGAGCGTTGGTAAAACTATACTCTCATACATCCCCTCTTTGCCTCCAAGGACAAAGTTTTTTTGTTCTCCACAGACTCCTAAAAGCACCACTCACCCTTTTCCCCTCATCAATTCTATGATTCACCTCATCTTTCATAGACCCATCCGCTGACACGTCTACTCCCAAATATCTGAATACATTCACCTCCCCATACTCTCTCCCTCCAATCGAAAATCCAAACTTTCATCACCTAATTCTTTTTGTATCCTCATAACCTTTACTCTTTCCTGTATTCACTTTTAATTTTCTTCTTCACACCCTAAAACCAAATTCATCCACCAATCTCTGCAACTTCTCTTCAGAATCTCCCAAGAGCACAGTGTCATCAAAAAGAGCAACTGTGACAACTCCCACTTTATGGTGATTCTTTATCTTTTAAACTCCACGCCTCTTGCCAAGACCCTCGCATTTATTTCTCTTACAACCCCATCTATAAATATATTAAACAACCACGATGACATCACACATCCTTGTCTAAGGCCTACTTTTACTGGGAAATAATTCCCTCTTTCCTACATACTCTAACTTGACCCTCACTATCCTCGTAAAAACTCTTCACTGCTTTCAGTAACCTACCTCCTACACCATACACCTGCAACATCTGCCACATTGCCCCCCTATCCACCCTGCAACGCCTTTTCCAAATCCATAAAGGGCCACAAAGACCTCTTTAGCCTTATCTAAATACTGTTCACTTATATGTTTCACTGCAAACACCTGGTCCCACACCCCCTACCTTTCCTAAAGCCTCCTTGTTCATCTGCTATCCTATTCTCCGTCTTACTCTTAATTCTTTCAATAATAACTCTACCATACATTTTGCCAGGAAATACTAAACAGACTTATCCCCCTATAATTTTTGCACTCTCTTTTACCCCCCTTTGCCTTTATAAAAAAGAACTATGCATGCTCTCTGCCAATCCCAGGTACCTTACCCTCTTCCATACATTTATTAAATAATTGCACCAACCACCCCCAAAACTATATCCCCACCTGCTTTTAACATTTCTATTTTTTAAACCCAACAATCCCGGCTGCCTTACCCCCTTTCATTTTACCTACTGCCTCATGAACTTCCCCCAC